CCTGACTACACACCCCAGCCTAGCCTTTTTTATGATGAACAGTAAACAGTATGAAGAAAGAGCCCTGAAGACATGGGACTTCCCACACAGCTGTTGCAAAGTCCTGCAGTATTGCAAAGGAAAGGCCAGCCTGGGCTACAGATCAAAGCTTGTGATCAAAGCTTGGAAAACTTATCTAGATACTGTCTCAAAAAAAGAAAAAAGAAAAAGGGAGCCGGGTGGCAGTGGTGCACGCCTTTAATCCCAGCACTCAGGAGGCAGAGGCAGGAGGATCTCTGTGAGTTCGAGGCCAGCCTGGTCTACAGAGTGAGTTCCAGGACAGTCTCCAAAGCTACAGAGAAACCCTTTATCAAAATAAATAAGTATATAAATAAATAAAATTTAAAAAATTTAAAAAAGGGACTAGAGATAAAGCTTGATAATATAGTTCTTGCCTGGAAAGTGAGCCCTATCTAATCCTCAGGACAAGGGTAGGAGTCGGAGGGTGGGGTCAGTAGTTTAAGGCCAGACTCTGCTGTATAGGAAGGTGTGAGGCCAGGTTTTAGGTTTAGATCCTATCTAAACTCTCTCAAGAGAAAGGGAAAACTTAAACAACTAATTTCAACTCAAAATGCCTAATGATGTGCCCAGCCCTGGGCTCCATCTCTACAAAACCCACCCACACCGTCTTCCAGCACTGACTCCCGCTGAGAAGACTCTCCACCAAGCCACTCACGCTCTTCCCTGCTGAGCCTTCTATCCAGCCTCTGCCTCCCCTCCCCCTTTGTGTACAAGGCCCAGGGCATTTCTCCTAATCCCTGTGACCAAATGCAGTGCTGAAACCTAGATGTGCTGATCCCTGTTGCCCACTGCTTTCCGCCGGTCCACTGGGCCTCCAATTGCTGGGGCATCACAACATCCTCGGCCAGCATCTGCCTGCCTGCTTGCTTGGTGGAGGCCAAACTTCCACTTAGTAACTTTTACAGGCCCTGACAGAATTGGTCAGAATTCTTGCAATAGGCCCAAGAGACCAATCTAAGCTGTGTCCTATGACTAGGTCCTTGACTTACAGATCTGGGGCCACACAATCTAGCAGAAGTGTGAACCTCCGTTAGAATTTTCTACATACTTAGCCTTTTCTGTCACACCCAGAACAAAGATGGAGACCAGTTTACCCACTGAGGATGAGTGGCAGGGTGCTTGACTAGTGTATCTGTGGTTTCTGGTTGGCTCTTTTCCCAGCACATCAAAGACAATGAAATGAAAAACCAAGATGCTCACCAACCACACATGCTTGTTTGCCCACTTTTTAAGTTTACTCTTTTGTGTCTATGACTGTTTTGCCTCCTTGTATGTTAAGTGGACCACATAAGTGTCTGGTGCCCATGGAGGCCAGAAGAGGGTATTGGCTCCCCTAGAACCGGAGTTGTGACGGTTGAGAGCCATCATGTGGGTGCCGGGGACCTGAGCCCTCTGCGGGAGCAACAGGAGCTCATTGCTCGCTTTAGAACCGCTGCATTAAAACTTGGAGATGGAGGTTTGTAGGCACTGGCTGCTCTTCCAGAGGACCAGAGTTCAGTTTCCAGCACCCACATGGTGCCTCTTGCTGTGAATGGCTTTTATACGGGTGCTGGGTCGGAATTCAGGTTTTCAGGCCTTGTGGGATCAGCACTTTACCTACAGGCAGTGTCCCAGCTCAGAAATGCATCTAAAATGTTTTTTAGATTTATTGTATGGATGTGACTGTTTTGCCTAAATGTATATATGTGTACCACATTGTACCTGGCGACGGAGGAAACCAGAAAAGGGCATTGGAGCCTCTGGAACAAGAGTTACAGCCAGTTGTAAGCCGAGGATGCCGGGAATCAAACCTTGGTGTGATGGAAAAGCAACAAGTGCTCTTAACTGCTGAACCACCTCTTCAGAGTATAGGCTGTCTGATGGCATTGTGGCAGATGCCAGTATTCTGGAGGCAGAGGCAGGAGGCTCACCACAAGTTCAAGGCCTGAGTGGTCTCCACAGGGACACTGTCCCATGATGGGGATGTCCTTCTCTATATTTTTCTTATTGGTTGATGAACAAACACTGTTTGGCCAATAGCCAGACAGGAAGATAGGTGGGGCAACCAGACCAGGAGAAGGCTGAGAGAGGAAGGCAGAGGGAGGCCTCGGAAAGAGACGCCATGTAGAGACCAGGAAGGTAGGAAGCACCAGGCGTTCTCTGGTAGGATAAGGCCATGTAGAAATACATAGATTAGTAGTTATGGGTTAGTAATTAAGACAGAGCTAGCCAGTAAGAAGCCCTAGCCATCAACCAGCAGTTTTATAATTAATAAGGCATCCATGTGTTTATTTGGGGCTATATTGACTGCAGGACCAGGCTGGAAAGAGCTCCAGCAACAGCCCTCTAACCAAAATAAAGCAGAACAATCCAGGACTATGTGTTGCTCAGTGAGTGGTACAGCACCGGCCCAGCCCACCTGAGACCCCGGGCTCTATTCCAAGCACTGGTGGTGATGGTGGGGGACGGGAGTGGGGGCTACTCTGGGGCCTGGTGCTGCCATGGTTGTGGTGAGGAAGGGCCTGGTTTATCATGGGCTCCAGAGCCTGTCCCTGGGAGGAGGGGGTCTTTGGCTCTGCAGAAGGTCGGTGAGGGGGGTCACTCGTCACTTCTGCTTCACCAGCTCTGGGGCTGGCATTGTCATTCTCCTTTCCTCCACTACTTCTCCCTCTCTCTCTCGTGTGTGTGTGTGTGTGTGTGTGTGTGTGTGTGTGTGTGTGCACACCAGTGCGTGTGAATGTGCTTTAAGTTTGATCATTCTGTCTGTCTGTCAATCATCTTTCCTCAGGCCCCCCTCCCCCTCTTCGGGCCAGTGGACGGGCCTCTGTATGTCCGTGGGGCAACAATGTGGTTTACTGACTAGGGCAATGCGTTACATTAACTGACTCTGAGAACAACTTCTCATTTAAAGGGGAGTGAGCCTGAAGTTCCTGTATCAACCACCCAACAGGTAACAGACAGCCCAGAGGAGGGCAGGCTGTCTCTCTCTCTTAAAAATTTCTTTTAGATTTTAGTTTTATGTGTATGAGTGTTTTGTCTGCATGTTTGTATGTGCCTGGTGCCCACAGAGGTCAGAAGAGGGCACTGGATCCCTGGAACTGGAGTTACAGACAGCTGTGAGCCACCATGTGGGCGCTGGGAGTCAAACCAGGTCCTCGGCAACAGCAACAAGTGCTCTTAATGAGTGCATCTCTCCAGCCTAGAGAAAGCTCTTTTTCATGGAAGAACTGCAGACAATAAATGAGAAAAAGCGGGGCATTGGTGTCGAATGCCTTTAATCCCAGCACTCGGGAGGCAGAGGCAGGCGTATCTCTGAGTTCAAGGCCAGCCTGGTCTACAAAGCTACACAGAGAAACCCTGTCTTGAAAAATCAAAAAAGAAAAAAATCATGAATTTGCAACTCCAGGAAATAATGGTAACACACAACACATCCCAGGATGGAGTTGTTGCTTGGGATGGTTACGGGTGAAACTTACACAAAGATGGCTGTGTCACCTAACCCTGTGCTCAGTCTCTACTCAGGGATGAGCAGGCAGTGTGAGCATGAGGGAGCAGTGAGCAGCCCATGGAAGCCATGGGGTAGTCAGACTCTCCCCAAGAGGGAGCTGAATCCAGTCAAACCTTCAAGCACAAGAGATGGAGAGAGCCATTAGATGATATCAAAGAAGCAAAAACGCAAATCCCTAGAGGGCCATCTCATAGGACGTGTTTCTGTCTAGCTAGACTAAAACCAAGCAACCAACTGAGCAAACAGAGGGGTTAGGGTACCACAGGTTAAGCAGCCATAAGAGTCGGCAATCAGGGATAGATTTTCCTGGGTCCTGGCTTTGCTTTTGTTTTATTTTTATGTGTATGAGTATTTTGCCTGTATGTCTTTCTATGTACCATGTAAGTGCCTGAAGCCTGTGGAGGCCAGAGGGTGTCAGTTCTCAGACCTGGAGTTAAAGGTGGTTGTGAGCCACTATGTAGGCACTGGAAGTCAGACTAGGGTCCTCTCTGCGAGAGTGGCCAGCATTCACTTGCAACCATCCATCCTCCTGCCTCTGCCTCTAGAGTGCTGAGATTACACTACCACGCCTGGCTTTCAGTTCTGATTTCATCAGATCTAAGCTATTTTTTGAGACATTTGATTAAATTTGAATATTGGTTGACAGTAGATGCCACTGTTAGTACTTCTCTGAGTGTTCAATGACAATAAAATGTTCAAATTTTTTTTTTCAAAGATTCCTTTAACTAGAATGGAGGCAGGATTTGAAGCATCTGTGTATTCCAGGCCAGCCTGGGCCACAGTGTGAGACCTCAATTCAAAACACAAACAAGTAGCAGGGCTTGGAGGCGCACGCCTTTAGTCCCAGCAATTGGGAAGCAGAGGCAGGTGAAGCTCTGTGAGTTCAAGGCCAGCCTGGTCTAAAACTCAAGTTCTAGGAAAGCCAGGTCTGTTACATAGAGAACCATGTCTTGGAAAAAAAGGCAAACAAACCCCCAGAAGCTCCCCGATACTCTGAGGCACTGGGGAAAAGCACCATCGAGGGCTGCTAATCGGAAAGTCGGATTTGGTTGAGCCAGTTCTGTTTCCCAAGCAATAATCGGGGCCAGTCCCTCTCCTAACCTCATTCATGCCTCACCAGGGTCTGTGAGGCAGTCCAGAGGGTGTGAGTGGACAGAAACACAGACCACAAATGCTTTTTCTCCTTCATTAAAAATTTTAAGTTACAAATATTGATTTATAAATAATCAGGTGTGTGTGTGTGTGTGTGTGTGTGTGTCACGCGTGTGCCCGCGTGCCTACCCTTACTCTGAAAATACATTCTGCCCTGGGGACTCTTCACATCTCCTACACCACCTTGTACCTGCCTCTCCCCAGGTTCATATTTGTTCAATAATCCAGGGACCATCCCTGTCCCCATCCTGTCCCAAAAAGAACAGCTCCAATGTCCCTGGAGAGGGGTGGGGCTACCCCCAGCCTTCTACAAAGTGCTCTTGGTGAGGGAGGAACTTCCTGTCTGGGAGAGGCAGCTGGGCAGCTGTTAGGTCCTAACGGAGTGGCTTCCCTGTTAAAGAGAAACTGCTCTGCAAAAGGCTAGCATCCCGAGGAAGAGCTGTGCTTCAGGCCCTTTCTGCAGCCCCTCGAGAGAGCCGTGAGGTCAGATGACGCGTAGTGTCCTTGGGCGCCGGTGGGGCTCAGAGCGTGCCGTAGACACTGATTTTCACCATGGAGATGCTCTCGGTGTACTGGTTCAGGCCCTTCTCGTACAGAACGAACAGCTGCGGGGGCTGCTGCTCTCCCTCCGTGCTGTTTTCCAGGGCAGTCAGGGACGAGTAGCCGCTGGGTCCCGGCCACACCTGGACTCTCTCCTTCTGCCAGGACGTACCGTTGCTGAAGCTCCAGCGCAGGGTCAGGTTCACTCCTAGGAGAGCAATGGTCAGAGGAGGGAGGGGATGCATCTCTGCTCTGTCCAGGCCTTGTCTAGGCGTGGCACCCCCACTCACCCCACCCTCAGGCACTCACGGAACTCAGGATGGGCTGGATTGGAGAAGAAGACAATGCCTGAGCTGGTGGCTAATGCTCCTGCTGCTACCACAGGGTCCACCAGCTCGGGGTCGAAGGTTACATCCCGGGGCCTGAGGGTATCGCAGGCATCATAGCTGCGGAGGACGATCCTGCAGCGGCAATGGTAGTTGTTCTGGTTCCGGGCATTGATGATGACAGAGCCATCTGGAAGCTCGTAGGGCTAAGGGGAGAGAACAGGGCCTCAGGAGAGCCTGGGAAGGCTGGGAAAGCCAAATGGCATTCTGGGTAAGGCGGTGATGGCCAGCAAGCAAGTTCCCACCGACTCCTCCCCACCTGGCACTCGTCGGGGTTGAAATCGTGCTCGTGTTTGGGCTGGCCGAAGGGAATGCCGCTCACTCCAGTCCCGTAGTGCCACGAGGCACCGTGGTCATCACTGAGGAGACAAAAGACTCCATCTCGTTCCAGCGTCCCATGGCCACACACAATGAGCCGGCCCTTCCGAGGCTCCCGCTGTTTCTGCAAGAGAAGAGGACCTGGGTGTCAGAGAGGATGGCACCCTGGAGCCCAGAAGATAACTCCCAGGCTAACCTTTAACTCACAGTGATGTCCTTGCCTCAGCTTTTTGTTCTTAAATAAAATTCTGGCTAGCGTACAAAGAAATGGGTTTGGCCATGACATTTTCATACACACATGCGTCATGCTTGGTACTCATACCCTACCCAGAACACGCCACTGGACATGTGTATGCGTGCCCACCCAGCCCTGGGAACGTCACGCCAGCCCGAGCGTGGACTCTGCTGGACACAGGGCACCACGATGAAGGTATGCATCTGCCCAAAGGGCACCCAATTCTACCCCACTCAGGCTAAGGACACATCTGCTGACAGCAGAGTTTCATCTTCTCCATAGTGCCGTGTTCTTTCCAGATGCCAACCACCCCTCCCCCCAAGGAATCCCACTCAAGAAAAATTCTGATTCACAGGGTCTTGCCCTCTTCCCCTAGCCCCAGGACAAAAACCTGAATGCCAGAGCCTGGTCCAGGGGCAAACATTTCTGTGCCAATGTCCACGGAGAGATTCCGGGGTGGGCTCCAGGAAATGCCATCGTCTTTACTCCACACCAACATGGTGGAGGCCACCTGGCAGTTGACCTTGTGAGCACACAGGGTATAGATAAGGAACACCACCCCTGTGTCCACGTCGTTCACCACGGCCCCCAGGTTCAGCCCGTCGGAGGCCTCCCCATCGTCTACGATGAAGGCTGTCGAGGACCATGTACTACCTGGAAAAAAAGAAAGAGTAGAGTGAAATTGTACCGTTTCTTGGCCACTTCCTGCCTCTCACCAGGGACCCTCCTGTTCCTTCTTTCTCTGACATTATTTCCTGCTCACTCCACCCAGCCACATAATTCTCAGCCCAGTGAATTATGAGCCCATCCCTTGGTGGTCCCGGTTAGTCCGGGGACACTGTCCCCCTCGGGTTTCCCTAACTCCTTAGGGACTCAGGCTGGGCGGTTGGACTGGTGAAGGGACCCCGCCCCCCGCCCATTCCGTCCCCAGTGCAAGCCACTTTTGTACCCTGGTCCGTGGACCTCCTCATGGCGATGAACTTGGCCCCCTCATCGGAGGCAGACGTTTTCCTGGCCTCGGCGAAGGCGAGGAGCGTGCCCCGAGGGGTGGCGGTGATGAGCGGGATGCGGAAAGTGTCCACCGAGCCGATCTGCCTCCCGCTCACCCACAGCAGCTGCTCCATGGTCACCAGCGGCTGCACCTGTGTGGAGGGACACACGCTAGACGAGGTCTCAAGACCGGCAGGTAGCGAGCGAGCGGCTCCAGCTCGGGCTCCCACGAGGGAGGGCGATGGGAGCCTGAGCAGGGGTGAGGGGTGTCCTTGAGCAAGAGAAGGGGGTCCGGAGGCGAGAACGGGCGGAAGCCCGAGGTTCTGGAGCAGGGGAGAGGCTGCGAGGGGAGAAGGAACCAGGAGCCAGGGGCCCAAGAAAGGAAAGAGGTTGGGAGAGCACGGGGCAGGAGTGGGGCAGGGCGAGGAGGGCGGGCGCGGCGGGGGGGGGGGGGGGGGGGTCTCGGGCCCCCCCCGGCGTCCCCCGCCCCTCCCTGCCCCTTGTTGCAGGCAGCTCTAAGGCCACAGGGAGGGGCTGGGTAGAGCATACAGTCCTGGAAGACAGGAGAGCAGTAAGAGCACAGTGACTCAGACAGCTAGTGGTGGAGCCCAGCGCCTAAAAGTGCAGTGTGTCTGAGTCTGTAACCTCCACTCCTTCCGCATGGGCGCTGTGCCCTCCCATTGCCCACACACACACACACATACACACACACACACACAC